TCTTTAAAGACATGCCAACAAACTTTATTGGTAGGATGCCTTCCAAACGAGCTGCTTAAGCCTTGCTTGGTTATTTGCGTATATGAAATCCATTTCCAATGATCGGAATAAAACCTCGTATTAGACCACGGCATTTTTACTTAACAGATTCACCAGTTTTTGAGGAAAAAGTGCAACATGTTTCAAAATATCTTCGAAATTTTCACTTGTTCCTCTGTTACATAATTTTTTTTCCAATTTGCAATTTTCCTAGTCACTTGTCCTTTTTCCGTACCAGCTAATGTCTTGTTACCTTTCTCAGAATTCATATAACCATCCTAAATATTTATGATTGAAATGGATCACTTGTCATTTGATTTTTTCCCGAAAATAGACGCTTGAATTTTTTAGATCCAGTTGTATCTTAATTCTTTTTACTGCATTATATTGCACTGTCAGCCACTTCAGCGCCTCTCGGGCCTGAGGCTGCTGCCATTGCGAGCCTTTTTCTCCATTATTGCGCGTTAAATAGTGCGCTATTGTTCTTTTTCAGCTTTTTGATGCTTGTATCGCACCTGATATCTGCGGAGACGGCACCGGCTGTGATAACATGACCTGCATCATCGTCTATTTTAACGACTTACAGGGTCTATCTCGCCATTCATTCAGTAGAAAGCGACGACTATCTGGCAGTGATTCAGGCGAGGCATCTGAGACAGAAACAGCCATAGAACCTAAAGAAAGTAAGAGGGCTGCGAAGCAGGCAAGACAGCAGGGAGATGAGCCTATTGGTTGTGGAGATTCAGACCACTCCAATGGAAATTATCACGCAGAGTCATCTAAGTCCGCCCTCATAATTGCTTCTTCCGGCGGCACGAAACCTCTAGAACAGTCATCTTTTGCTTGCAATGAGACCGGCGATTTACTTCAAACTGCCTCACCACGTGGGTGTAAATTAGCTCATAATATTCATTCGGGAGGCATTTCAAGCGATGCTTACGTTAATGGAGAACATGTATAGCCAAATACAGTATAATCATGCTTCTTGCATCCATCCAGCTCTGCTTAAAACGCTGAAGGGCATCGCATTTCTGGGGCTGGCTTAGCATTCTGCCCCTATTTGTAAATCTGTTGATTCGTATATATATATATATATATATATATAT